GAACGGGTTTTCCCCATTACTCCAGCACAACCACTAAAAATTCATTGTGCATTACTTAAAAAATTACTTTGGTTTAGCTAAATAAACTTAAGTATTGCAACTATTAATTGAAATCCAACCCTTGGCTAATGTGAATTAGTGCTGGATTATAATGCTACATCATGATAAGCAGCTTGGAAATATTTCAAACAGATTTGGAAAGTTGTTCCCCCCGTTAGATTATAAATATTATTAACAGATAAAAAGCCATAAAAGAGCCCATCACTTCAAAAGGGATCTGGCTATTTTCTCGCAGAGGAGCTGGAGGTACACAGTTTGCTAAGCCAAATTTCAAAGCAGAAAGCAAATCAAGGCATATAGAATTATTATTGATTCCCTAAATTATTAACTTAAAGGATTACCTTGTTCACTTTATTTTTGCTCAGAATAAAACATTAGCTGGATATAGTAAGGGATAAGACGTGCTAAGCTTTTAGCTCTAAACATTAGAGGCTTTTGAAGACACACGTAAAATCAGCATAATGACATTATTTTTTTCCCCGAGCGAAGCTGGGGATAGCCAGGGGAGAGCAAGGCTCTCGTGGGGTTGAGGACAGGCACAGGAGCAGTGCTAGCTCCAAGATACCCAGACACTTTCCTGTGCGTACACTGTACGCGTCTTTATTAGCAGTTTTATAAGAAAGACATTAATGATGGATTCACCTGAGGTTAGGCCAGTAGCTACACAAACATGTAGTTAAAAAAGCAACAAAAAAAAAAAAAAAAAAAAAAAAAAAAAACCTTTCCCAAGTGAACAAATTGCAGAGATAATGAAATGGGGCAGACAAGGTGTCCTGAGGGAAAAAGAGATGAAATTAAACTTGCCATCAGCTGATCAGCATGAAGATTTCTTTTCAGATAAATCCATCGAAAGAGATTGGATCGCAAAACACCATTTGGACAACTCGTTTTCATTAACAGTTCTACATTTCCTTTGCTCCAGCAAGTGGGTGATCCCTTCCGCTCAGCCTCAGGTCCCTGTTTACAGTGGATCAGGAGAGCAAATGGCTTTCTTCAGCCCCTGCGGCCACCCCTGGACCATCCTGCTGCTGCTTGCTTTGGCCCCAGAAATAGCAATCAACTACTTTTGTATTTAAACCACATTGTCCTGCCACTAATAACACAGATTTCCAAAATGTGCTTCTCAGGAAGGACTACCCCGGGCTCCGTACACCTGTTCCTCTTGTAAGCACAATCCCTCTTCCCACATTCCCAACATACTCCCTATAGGCAGCTTGTCTTGATTGCTGCAAATCTCTCATATAAAGCACATAACAGGTAGTGACACATTTATAGCACTTTTCATCTTTACAGCTCTGTGTGCTGGTCAGTTTTTATTACACTTGCCAAAGCGCCTTCCTTATTGTCCACCAGGAAAGAGATTTTTTCCCAGACAAGCTTTTAGCCCGGCGAGATGTAACTACACAATAAAGACATACACACATCTTCCCCTATTACACTAACTGATAGAAAAAAGTTTGATCTAAGCACAGTGCGTTTCCATCTCTGTTCCCAGCTAGCCCAGTGCATCATCCTGAAACTGCTCATTTTTATGGTACCTTTGGACTTGGTACCATCTAGCCCCAAAGTGCTCCCTCGAGGGCCCACATTCAACTCAGAAAGGATGAAAGGGCTAACTAACAAGGTCTGAGCTGTTGCAGGTTCAGCTTTAGGGGGCACAGAAAGCAAATTTCTGGTTTGTAGCACTTGCTTATTCCTAACGTTATTAACTGCTCCAATGCAGTATTTATAGCGGGGCTGCCTGCCTCCCTTTCCCCCAAGCAAAACTGTCACTATTTTAATGCTATAATAAGAAGCTGATTTAGCAGTGTGTAACTTCAAAGGGAAACTTTCTTCTGCTGCCTGATAAAATATTAATGGAAAATAACACAGCGCGGCGGCACTGCCCAGGAGCCTAGGACACAGCTCTTCTGGGGCTGCCAAGCGGCACTCCCCCTGCTCGGTGCCTTTTGTCCTCGCCAGGTTGCCTAATAAAGCTGCTGGCAGGAAGCTCTCCGATTTGTTTCCCAAACTGTGGCCAGGGACCAGCACCACTTTACCTGCACAATCTGTTTCCCTTCCAATCCCAAAGCTCCCAGACGAGGCGGTGCGGGCAGAACCAGCTGTGGGGCAGGCTCCTTTTGGCACTTGGGAGGGTTTAGCAAAAATGCAACAAGTTGGGGAGCACGAGGAAGAGGCAAGAATAGATCAAAGCAAGAACAGGTCAAAACAACGGACAGTTTGCCATGCAGAAACCTCCTTTGCAGGCTATGGAAAAGATGAACCATTCCAGGCTCCGTCCAACAACCATCCCACCCCAGCGTGGCTGCGAGGATCCCCCATTCCAGCAAGCATCATCTGATGGGGTTCCCTCAGCCCACTCTTGATGCACAAACACATCAGGTTGGTACATCAAATCTAGCACATGCCCACGTCCTGCATTTCCAACAGCAGTCCCTGTCGCCCTCTTTCCTCCCCTGCCTGGGTGGGCAGCAAGCACAGCACAACTTCTCACTCAGCTCTCCAGATTTTCTACAATTTATGCTTCCTGCATTTTCAAGATGTGTGTGAAATGACAATGCTGTACAGTTTGGCACGAGCAGCTCCCCAAGCATTATGTAGCTCAACCAGTAACAGCAGCATTCTGCAGAGCTGTGGTAAGTCACGTTCTGCTCCTCTGCGCTGAAATCACAATTCCCAAATTGCTGCAGGTCCCGGCCACCCTTCTCAGGGGAGATGGAAAAGCGCAGCGCATCATAAAGGATGAGCACTGCCAGCTTCCAGTCATTTTACGTTCTTCCACCAACAAATATAGCCCCTGCAGGCAGGATTCAGATGCACAGGGCTGCATGCTGGGCCCTGAGGTGCCTTTGGGCTTTGCACGCCCAGCACCAAGGCTCCTGGTACAGGCAAACACAGACCAGGTTAGGTCGTGGTGGTGGTTACCACTGGTTATAGGGCTCCTTTCAGATCTATTGCTGCTTCCACCTTATTTCATAGTGACTGATATAATTGCTGTCAGAGTGCCCAAATGCTCACTCCAGATTTCAGCTATTTCCCAGGCACTTGGAAGTACCTTAGCTCTGATGGGTGCTACATGAAAAATGGATCCCTTCCCATCCGTGTCATCCCGCAGGTTTAAATGTCGCCCCTGCTAAATCTCAGTGAACACCGCAGGACCCCAAGTCATTACTCACTATGGAAACATCGGCTTCTGGCCTCGGTAATGGGTACAGTGCACGAGGTCTTGTGATGGACCCGAAATCACCTGAGGCAGCACCCAGCTTCCTCCTGCAGGGGCAAGGCACGAGCCGAGAGGAGAGGAAGAGCCATTAACGCTCACTGATGTACAATGCACACACTACATTAGTCACAATCCTATAAATAAACATGTTTCTCATCCACACTACATTAATCTTGATCCTATAAATAAACAGATAGAGCACAGTCGTGGCTGGCTGAGATACCCCCTGCAGAACGAGAGTGGCAGGTGCCAGAGTGCACCACAGAGCTGGGCTGCAGCATCCACGGCTGATGAAGGCACCATGGCTCCAATTATTACTTCATAATGGCAAGTTTATTTATAGGAAAAACGGTGGCCTTAGGGGGAAGGGGTAGGTTTACATGCTATAGTACTGTTCATTTCTAAGGGTTTGCACCACAGCCTCGGATAACTTTGCTCTAAACCCAGCTAAATAAAAGCTGGCGTCCCACGAGCATCACTGAGATTTCTCCTTACAAGATGAGAGATGTTGAGCATCACCTTACATCCACACAGTACTCCCTCTACTTGTGCTTTGTGAGAAGGAACCTAATGTGCTTCTCAAAAAAGTAATATATATGTGTATATACTTTGGAATAGCTTTACCAGTTACTGAAATGTGGCAGCTGATCAGCTGCTGGCCAGATCAGGACAGGGCTGACACTGTTCCCAAGTAAAATGACAAGGAAGTGAAAGGAGGCAGAACACGGCCACCTAAAGTGCGATTTGAAGCAAGTGTCAGTGGATATTAGCGCCTTCGTATAAGCTGTAAAATTGGTTCTTAACAATCCACTTTAGCCATCGACCAGCTAAGGAAATGCCAGCAAATGGAAGGAAACAACAACAACAAAAAAGCGTTAAGATGATGGAAAGATAGAGAAAGAAGAACAGAGTGAACCCTTTTAACCCCAAGCAGGTGGACCTGGAAACTTGCAGTTAGACACGGTGGAAGAGAAAGGCAGGAGGAAAGGAAGAAAATTAGTATTTAATCTGAGGCACGATTTCATTAGCTGTGTCTTAGTCTGAAGTGTAGCATTGGGCTAGAATTGGACGTTTTTGTCTTTACAACAAACAGCTCTTGTATTTTAGCATACGATGAACCTCAGAGCATCTCATGAGCCTGGCTGCCTGCGCATCTGGGTCTGCACAAGCTGGATTTGGGCAGCACGTCCTGAGGGCACATGTCAGGGCTCAGGGAGCACCAAGCAGTATTCAGATGATTGGGAATATGATGCATTGGCCATTTTAATTAACTTTCCCACTGAGGGCTGACTGTTTATATTCTGTGCAATAAAACATGCGCAGCGTTCTTAATTTTTAAGACCTTGCAGACAATGAGACAAAATTAGAGCAAGCTATCGAGGCCATCCCTGGGGACCAGAGCTGTGTGTTGTCATTCCCCAGTGAGACCAGGACCAGCAGAGATGCAGAGGGAGCACAGACCATGGCCATGGCACCAGAAGTCTCTGATAAATGCAACGTCTGAGGCCTAAGCAAACTTCTAACATTTCCATTCACATGTGTTAACTGACTTTTTACTGAATCTTATCTTCGTGAAGGCACTTAAGCAATCAGAGCTAAAGCTCCCCATTAACAATACTGCCTCTTTTTCTACTTGTCCTTCTCAGGAGGGTGTAATCAAGGGAAATTTAATTGTTCATGAAAGACAGCATCTGCATCACATATCCAACATACATCCGCCTGGAAAGCTACCCAGTGCGGCCATTCAGTTTGCTGCATGTTACCTTTACACTTGTCATTAACAAAGTTGATTTCATTATTAGGGACCTGAAAGCTGTGGCAGGGGGCGATGAGCACATCCAGAGCATCTGTGCACCTCCTTATAGGAGATGCACTCCATCAAAAGCAGATGCAGATGAATAAACTGGTAGGCAAGGTGTGTTGACTTTTTATTTTACTTAACAGTAATGAAATGTAACAAGTGCACCAGAGGGATGCATTTTCATAAGCAGACAAGCAGATGGGTGAAGAAATTTGACTTGCTATAAAAAGCTCAGAACTGCAGATCTGCCTGAAAGGCGCTGCGGAAAGAGTCGGCTGCTCCACGAAGAGCACTCCCCTTGCCAAGATCACACCTTGCACACTGCAGACAGCTCTGGGGCCCTGCACATCCCACAGGGGATGAACCTCAAAGCCAGCTGCCAGTCGGGAGCTAGCTGTAAGTTTGTCCTGGGCTACATCTTGAAGCAGCAGTGAGGTCTAAAACTGCTGTGACCCTCTTTCAGCTTTGCTGCTAGAATCTTAACAGTAAAAACACTTCAGACCCTTTGTAGATGTGATCATTTAATCCAGCAAAAATGCCAACAACATCCAACAGTCGTGCTCAACTCTCAGTAGCTACCATGGTCAGCTTGCCTGGGTGTTTTCAACAAGCCAACCTGTTGCTTCGCTGGGTTTTAGGCTTTTTTCTTCAGGATTTCATAAGCAAACCACTTTTCTTGGTTATTTGTGTTCATTTGCAAGAGGCATAAGTCATCAAAAGCAGCTACAGATGAATACACCGCTGCACATTGTGGGTTTCCTTTTTAATACTGACAAAACCTAACAAGCCAACTTGAGAGATGTATGTTTATAACCAGTCAACCAGATGGGTGCAAAAATCTGATTTGCTATAAAAAGCTTATAGCTGCTGAAAATCTTAAGGATTTGCTGGAAGGACTCAGCTGCAACAAATCATGCCAGGGTACTAAAAAGACTGATCCAGCTTTGTCCAACTGTTGTCTCAGCATTTGCTTTCCTTGAGCTGTGCCAGGGCTGAACCTAGCACACCTCCCAGGACAAATAAGTGCCTAACGAGCAGATTCTCAATCAGCACAGCATTTTCATGGACTCCAGGCAGAGCTCACCCCTCTGCAAGCTGCCGTCCTCTCTCTGCTGCCCCTGTCCCTGCCTCCTCTCCCACCTTTCTGAGCCCTCCAGAGAATATGTTTCTGCAAGAGGACCCCAGTGGCTTGCAGGAACTGTTTTACTTCCCAATTATTGCTAGGGTGTTGTGCAAGCACAATTCAGAGCAATCTCTTCTTCAGGCTGTAACATTGCCCCTCCATCACGCATAAGCAGAGCGTGCGGCATAAAAATCTTTTAGGTTTTGATTCACACATGGAAGCTATCACCAGCCTTCTGTGTCTGAAAGGAGATTTGCAGAGAGACAAAAGCTGTTGTGCAAAACCTGCCCTGGGCTGTTCATCCAGTTGAACTGGGAGCTCCACCAGGCCCCTCAGGGCTCTGAGAAGTGCCTCGCTTTTCCTCCATGGAGTTTTTCCTTCTGCTTTGGGGGTACACAAACCATATCCTGGCAGAAAGCAATGTTTTTTCACTTCATAATTTATGTTTTTCTTGAGAGGCAGTTTTCATATTCTGGGCTCTTTCGCGCTGTCTGGGAGCCTGGCTCAGAAAAGGGTCAAGGCTCCCCAGCTGCCCAGGCCTGCAGGGCAGATGCTTTGACAAGAACGAAGCCTGTGCAAGACAGACAAAAACAAGGCTTACCCACTCAGAAACAACAAAAATAATAAGCTGTGCAGATTCACACTGGAATTTGACACTCTAATCTGACAGAGTTCCCTAAAAGCACCCCAGGAGCAGCTTCACCTGCCCTCACCCAGGCTGCCCAGTTCCCCCCTGACCTCTCAGCCCCATCCCTGGCTCAGTGCCCCCGGGGTGCACTCAGCTCCCACTGCCCATCACTGCACCCAACCTGCCTGCTTTCCTCAGGCCACAGAGAGGGAGCATCACCAAAAAAACGTTCTGCTGCTTTAAAACCCAGCCATGATAACTGGAATCCACAAATTGTTGTTATTTCTTTTTTTTTTTTTTCCTCCCAGACCTATGGGACTGCTCTGAGCATAATTAGGTTTTGGGTTTACAAAAAACACCAGCATCTGTTGCCTACTCTGTGCACGCTGCCAGTCTGAAGGGACTGCTCCAGGCTCGCTCCAGCTTTTGTTCTCGCAAAAAGAGAAAACTTTGCTGAGCCTGGAGCAGGGCTGCTGGCCAAGGGAAGCTCCGGTTGTATTTGGGACTGGCAGCAGAAGCAGAGGAAAGGAAAGGTACGGAGTGGAGTGCCTCAGCCTCTAGCTGAATTTAATTTGATGAGTCTCAGTTAAATTTATGGGGAAAATTCCCAGCAGTTACTGCCAACAATCACATTATAAAATAAATCTGGCATAAAATAATCACCAGCATATGCCTATCTCTCATTTAAAGGGAGTTCCAAGAATTAGAGCTTGACCAAGCCTCTCGCTGTTTAGTAAGGAAAGTCCTCATTAGACAAAGATGCTTTCCTTGCCATCCACCAGCAGAGGAAACAAAACAGCAACGCTGCCCAAGCAGAGCCATCCCCAGCACTCTTACACACTGGCAAGGGGCGAACAGAGAGGTTGCTGCTAGTTCTCCTCCTCTGCACCAGGTAGAGTTTCATGGTCAAAAAGCCTGGGAAAATGTCTATCATGGAGGAAAAAAATAAATAAAAAATAATTTTTAGAAGAAAAAAAAAAAAAAAAACATGTACTACAGACCTCCTGCACTCCTGCAGCCTACAATTAGCTCTGCTCTGGGCAAGCTTCATGGTGACCCCTCTGCTGCTCTCAGCTCTGGCTGGTTGCTGTTCCAGGAGCAGCAGCATGGTACAGAACAACATAACGTGGAGCCTCAGGACTGGGAGGCATTAAAGAGGACCACATCTCTTTGATTGTTAATTAAGAGTTCAGAACTGCACATCCTATAATGACTGCAGGTGATGGTCACTGCATACAAGGTTGTCCTGCAGGCAGCATTCTTTGTAGAAATGTGCCAGGCCAGAAAATCCCACCCAAACACACCTGAACAAGTTACATTTGGGTTTGGATCCTAAGAATTCCAGCCAAATCACTACTGTGCTGGGGACTAATTTCCCTTTCTAGGCAAGCTCCAAGCAGTTCTGGTTTCAAACCTGAACTTCTGCTCAGTTTGGGCTCTGCACTCTCCCTCAGCATCCAGCCTCCTCTTTCCTCTTTTTATTTTTTTGTACATGACAGTGCTGTAAACATATTGTCCAAGCTTTATGGCACACTCTGCTTCTTTCTCTGAAGCCCAGAAGCACTTCTAGGAATTCCTCCCACTGCTCTGAAAGCACCAGCTCACCTCTGCAAGGCTGGGGGAAATCCATTCGCAGACCTTCTGCACGGGGGGACCAACCCGGCACGTCACGAGCTTGTAAGTAGCACTGATTCTAACCCAGGGGACCATGTTCAGCCAGCTCAAACCTGCATACATTTTTAGGAATACATTATGTATGAGGGTAGAGCTGTGCAAGTAGAGTTGAAGTTTAAAAAAAAAAAAAAAAAAGCCAATTTACCTTTTGCTTCCTGCCATACTCAGTCCTAAGACTGAAATTTGATGAAGTAAATTCCAAGAGGTGTATTCCATGGTATAGGGATTGGCAGGTGACAGTTTACTTTCCATGCTGTCAGACAAGTGGTGCATTTTGAAGGCCAGTTCCCCACCAGCTGCTCACCCAGAAGGGTCAGGCACAGCCTCACGCAGGGTCAGGAACGGGAGCGCTTGCCCTCTCTGTCTCTGCTGGAGCCACCGGTAAAAAAAAAACTACACTAACACCAAAGCAAGTTGTTTTGCCACAAGACACAAGGCTGTGCAATTGCTGTCCAAAATTCAGGGCAGTACTTCTGCAAAAATAAAGCAAAAACTCGCCCCAAACTCCATCTGAAACAGTTATTGTATCGCCGTGAATGCAAATGCGCGAAGCCGCTGGAGGCGTTCTGTCATATGCCAGGCTCTGGAGTCCTGCGGGTTTTCTGTCAAAGACGCCAAAGCTTTGATGCCAAAAGAACCGAGTTTGCAATTATATCGTTTGCCTTTTTATTCCCTATTTTTTTTCTTATTTCCTTATTGCCTTTTCTAGGAAATGCTTAAAATAAATTGATGATGGATGGATAAGGAAGGAGCCTTAAACCAAGAAGGGTAAAAAGCCGTTACATGGATGTGTTCAAATGTAGGGAAAATTATATAATGATATGTTACATCTACACTATTAAGAAGTTAAAATGGACTATAAAAGGAAGGTAGAATTGAAGGCAAAATAATAGGACTATTTCCAGCACATTTCAAACAAAAAGCTGGTAACAGGAGTTGTCAAACATTTCTGAAATCAAAAGACAAAAACTACCTCCTCAGGCACTTAAAAAATAAATAAAAATAAGAGAAACACTTCTGTTGGCAGAAAGGAGGGAAACAGACACCAGAAATGAATGTTTTCTTCTCTCAGGTAAGTGCTATTGCCCAGGATACCAAACCCAGAAGAGACCATGGGGAATTTATTCCTGCAGACTAACAAAAGCCACCCACAGCTGCAATCACCCCTCAAATTCTGCAGGGAAAAAAAAATAATAAAAAAGCAGAATAGCCAACACCACCCTAACCACATTGTGCTGGGAGAGCTACATCTGAGGCAGAGTCCTGAGTTTCCATACCACAGCACAGTCCAGCACTGCCTCTTCAAGGAGAGGAGCCAGGAGCACTGGGGAGTAGCTGAGGGTGAGCAGAAATAAGTGATTTAAATTGGATACCCTCGTCCGTTCATGGGCCATCGGGGCTGCTATGAGGAAGGGGTGACCTCCTGGTTATTTTGAAGTGCTAATCTGAAAGTGTTGTCAGAGACCATCCAGATAAAGTTAATTGAGGAGCCAGGGTAGAGCCATTGCAGAGAGTGGCTGTGTTTTGAAAAAGCCTTTCTTTGTCTCTGTGTCAGTCTCATCTTGTTTAACTTTCCTGTATCAGCCATGCTGAAAAAATACATCAAGTCAAGCAATGTCTTTTGGGTTTCTTTTTTTTTTTCCCCCCCCCCCTCCTTTTCTTGAGGGACTGAATATTGTCCCAGACAGAAATTGCAGGCCAGGCTTGGAAGCCCTCTAGCTCAAATACCGATTGACTTCAGTGGGGTTTCCATGTGTGAAGTACATGCAAGATCAAGCACATCGGTCATTGTTATAATACCACTTACAAAAGCACTTCATGCTTCAGAAATAAATTGATAGCTGCAAGAGGAACAAAAGAGTGTGCACATTATGGTACAGCTGAATGGAGGCTCAGCATTGCTTTACATTATGTGGGCCATACAAGTTTGCTGGTTAGATGATTAGAAGGGTTATTAAGGCAATTCACTATCTTATGCCCCTGTTCTGCCTTATACATGCAGTAAAGACCTTAAAGCCTACTATTTCTTCTAAAACAATGAGAAAACAAGACACAAATTCGGCAAGCCCTACAAAAGCTGAAACATTACGCAGCAGTTGAAGAAAATAAGCTGTTGGCAGCTATAAGTTGTAAAGCAAGGCAAAAGAGAACCTATGGTTAACACTTCGTATATCTCCAAATGACTTGCCATAATCTTGTGACACCAGGAGCTACGTCCACTAGCATGACATTTTGATAACCTGTGCTTTTAAAACCAAATCAACAAAAATAGAAAAAGCAGAGATAAATCATAGCAGGAACCAAGAAGTAGTTGGATTGTTGTTTTTTTTGTTTTTTTTTTAAAAAAAAAAAAAAGCTGTTTGTATAGGAGTGTGGCCACACTGGGATACTCTTCATCTTCCTGGAGAATAGCACAAATATAGGGTACAAAAAAGGAATTCAGATATATATATATATACACAAAAAAAAAAAAAAAAAAAGACTATTTACAACTCTGACAATCTCTGGAAAGACCAAGAAGTACTAAAGTATTCTGCAATTACTTCTTGTAATAACTACAAAAGGATCTAAATTAACATAAATCTCAGGCCAGCTGGTGATTGTGGACAGTGAAGTATGAGGCACCACAAGTACCTAGCTACGTTCTTACTTTAAACAATTTTTGAGGACACACAGAGATAAAAGGAAGCCCTGAAAAAGGACTGAGAAGAAATTATGTATGTGTGTTTGTCCGCGAAGCACAGAGCATCTAAATGAGGACTCGCATAAAACAAACTGCAATAGAGACCTTAGGCAGCACGTTAGGAGAGCATCAGACAAGGGTAAATATTTGTTGTGAGCTTACAGCAAACAACCGATGGCCTTTACGAGACCTAGCAGAGAACCGAAACCCACTTAGATCTCATATGCACAAACAGAAAAGCATTCGCAAGCAAAATTTTGTTCACACCACTAGTCCCACCGTCAGCAGCCGTGCTGGCTCATCTGATGAGTGGCAATTCCATTTTATGCATCAGAAATAAGCTCCTCGATAATATAATTTTGAGGAAGACACTTGTGTGACAAATACCCGTTTCATACTAGTCTGCTATTAATTTTGGAATGTTGTTTTTATTTTAAACCCACTCTCGTCTCCCGAGGTCCTTCTGCAGCCTTGCCTTCCTTCAGTGCCTAACTGATGCCATCGTGTGGTGGAAAAGGCTCTAACGCTGGCAGCAGGTAGCCAAAATAATCCCTAAAACACTCCAGCCCAGTGCCCCTGGGGCAGACCTCCTTCTCCCTCACAGCCTCTAAGGACTGGGTTTCCACTGAATGATTCTTGCCCGACTTTTGGCTTTTTCCAGGGAAAACCAGCACATTTCATACACTGCTCTGGGATGCTTCCTGGGCAGGTTTCACTTGCCCCTAGATGCTCCACTCGCATTTTCTCCAGCCTTCTTCTCAGAGCACTGACCTTACCCACTCGAAATAAGTCCAGTCCTCCCTCCTGTCCCAAAATACACAAGTACTTCCCTCTCCCCAAGCCAAATGAACGGGTCTCCCCCACACACACACACCCTGCCTGTCCCCCTTGCTGGGGCGACCACACTTGGCCTCCTGTGGATGGCTGCAAAAAGTGGGCTAACCAACAAGGAGTTGCATGCAGAGATCCAGCTCCCTTGCTCAGACCTTTTTCTATTGCACATATTGCTCCATCAGCCATTGGTTGCGTGCAGGTAGAAATCTTTCATTTCCAAGTTGTGCTTCTTAACGAAGCTCCCAGATACAGGCTGAGAATAGGGGGGGCAGGCAGATACTTGCAGGGCTTCACTTGGTGCCTTGGTGAAGAGTCACCAGAAAAACCTTCCTGGTTTCCTAAAACCCACACATGGACAATGACTGGGACTTCACCACAACCACCTGCAGCACAGACAGCAAAGGTTTTGTCTCCACCTGCCTTGGTGAGCCCCTGCCTCCCCCAGGGCCCCCAGAAGGTTTTGTTGTTTCAGCCTCCAGAAAGGCCAGGCTTTTTCTGAGCAACAGATACAGCAACCGATCTACCTGTCTGGTGACAGGTAAGAGATTGCCCCCCCACACCCCTTATATTTTCTTCTCCCCTAACTTAATTTGCTGCTGCTTTATTAAGTATTGGATTTTGGTTTATATAAAGGTAAACAATGTTATCACACAAATCTTAATCTTATAATTGCAGCCTCACTTGAATTGCTTGATGATTAGCTTCTAGGCATAACACTCATCTCATTCAGTTATACCTTCATTATCATCAGATTCATTAATTTCATCCTCTGCGTGCTAAAACACTGCATGGTTAAAGGCAACATTTAGCAATATTCAGAATATCAGCAAGGTTTCCCAGTCCCTGCTGAAGAGTTTGTAGAAGCAATATTGCACCAAGAGGATCAAGGAGTTATTTTTTTCCTTTAAATCCTTGATGCATTGAGGTGATTGTATGTGTGTCTATATATATATAACTTAACTATTACTTAATTATTCAAACTGTACCAAACCATAGCTGCAGCGTATCCTGAGCATGGTAAATGGCCTTGGGGTGGGCTCTGAGGGGCTGTGGGTGAGGCTGGGAGCTGCCTCCTCCTGCCCCACATGAGAGGAGCACAGCTGGAGAGGCCAGGATCCGTGCCTGCTTGCAGGGATGAGCATTTTGTCAGGTAATCACTACCTGTCAGCAGCAGGATTTGCTCATCCTCCTGTCATCCATGGCTTTGCAGGCAGATTGGCTTTTTATTTTTATTCTGTAGCTGTTCCTGGCAGCACCTTACACCACCAGGTCATGTACAGTTCCTTCGTATTCCTGGACTTGTTAGAGTGGGTCCAGAGGAGGCCACAAGGATGATCAAAGGCTGGGCACCTCTTCTAGAAAGAAAGGCTGAGAGAGCTGGGAATGTTCAGCCTGGAGAAGAGAAGGCTCTGGGGAGACCTCACTTGTGGCATTTCAGTACTTAGAGCAGGCTTATAGGAAAAAATGGAGAGAAACTTTTTATATGGACGGATAGAGATAGGACAAGGGGAATGGTTTTAAACTAAAAGAAGGGAGATGTAGATTAGATATAAGGAAGGAATTCTTTACTATGAAGGTGGCAAGGTGCTGAGCAGGCTGCCCAGAGCAGCTGTGGGTGCCCCAACCCTGGAAGTGCCCAAGGCCAGGCTGGATGGGGTTTGAGCAACCTGGGCTGGTGGGAGATGTCCCTATCCATGACAGGGGATTGGAGCCAGGTGGGCTTTAAGTCCCTGCCAACCCCAACCTTTCCCTGATTCAGCACCATTAAGGCTGTTTTAAATAAACACGGCTGGAAGGAGGCTGAGATCACAGCAGGGAGGAGGCTCAATCACAGCAGCTCGGTGAGGGATGGAAAGCAG